GTTTTGAAACTTATATGGTAGTTACATAGCACCTAGACCTCAGTTATCATGAAAAAAGCCGGGAAATTTCAGTTTTGACAATATGGGACCTTTAACGATTTGATGCAACTCACCGTATCCACTGTACTTAAAGTTTTCGCTTTCTCTGGTTCTTCTTCCTCCTCTTCATCTGTACTGTACTCCTCCATGGTTTCACCAGAGGCAAAGTAGATTGTTCTGCGAGGAATCCTTGGCTTCTTTTTGCCCAGATCTCCAAGTTCCACATTTTCAAACTCCTTCACCACCGTAGAACTCTAAAGCAGCAGATAAATGTATACATTTAAATTTAATTTACCAAGAACATTACACACTGTTACAGAGAGGCCTATATAAACTACATTATATGATCTTAATATTATATTACACTATCATTGCGTATATTAAATGAGATAAATAGACTTCAAATAAATCACATTATTATATATCATTAATATTATATAAATTACATATTTATATCTTACATTATGTGTATTAATATCAAACTAGTTTAATCGCTATACTAAGATGTTACGAACAAGGAAGTAGAATCATATATCTCGACTGTTGTCTACAACAAAAACAAAGTATGTAATTCCATAACCTCACTTATTATATATTAAAATGACTTTACCTTTTCTGGGTCCATAGTTTGCCCCAGAGACACGTTAACGTTTGTGAGGTACAGTGACACTTCAGCCATGTCTTCTTCTGTCCTTTCTGTTGCTTTCTTCGAGCTCTTCCGCAGCGTCAACCAGGAAGTGACGTCCCATGTAAACAAGTTCTACTTAAATAGATTATTAGAATAGTGAAAATGTATAATGATCTCCTGAATGGTACATAATTTTGATTTACTACCTCTGTATTTTTTGTTTTATCTATGTATTCTTATTTATTTATTTTTCTTCTTTGTCTTCCTATATAATTTCTGTATTCATAATGTCATCCAATGTTACATTAATTGTTGAAGTTAAGTGTTTATACTTGCAATAATAAAAAAAAAGATTTAAAAATACACCAGTCAACATGGCGGGGGAAAAAAATGGATTATTAGAATAGAAAACGTAATTAAAACGTTAAAACGCTGACAATTTTACAAAAGACATCTAAAAGATCTATACAACTGCATATTGAAAGTTATTTTGTATTCAAGCTGACTCTAGTTATAAATCTTCATCATGACTAGATAGACACGGTGAGTTTGTCTTTACTATACACGTTAGATGTGATCCACCTCATAGTAACAATCCTGTCAGATCGTCCATCCTTTGAGTGAGAGTGTAACGTTACAGGTCGGCCGATCTGGTTTCGTGGTTAAAGTGAACCTTTTCTACATGTTTCCGTGTTGTTGCTCAGCAATAGCATGGACGTGATGTTGTCTGGGGGTTTGGCAAAAGGAGAGTGGGACGGTGGGCGGTGCTCGGGGTGGTGACTGAAGGCGGTGACTGTGTAGTTCTGACGTCAACTTTTTACGGAAGTCACAGCGGTTCGTGAAAAATCACAGCTACTTTATGCAGGCTGTGTGCATTTTACTGTGGACTGAGTGTTTTGAAACTTATATGGTAGTTACATAGCACCTAGACCTCAGTTATCATGAAAAAAGCCGGGAAATTTCAGTTTTGACAATATGGGACCTTTAACGATTTGATGCAACTCACCGTATCCACTGTACTTAAAGTTTTCGCTTTCTCTGGTTCTTCTTCCTCCTCTTCATCTGTACTGTACTCCTCCATGGTTTCACCAGAGGCAAAGTAGATTGTTCTGCGAGGAATCCTTGGCTTCTTTTTGCCCAGATCTCCAAGTTCCACATTTTCAAACTCCTTCACCACCGTAGAACTCTAAAGCAGCAGATAAATGTATACATTTAAATTTAATTTACCAAGAACATTACACACTGTTACAGAGAGGCCTATATAAACTACATTATATGATCTTAATATTATATTACACTATCATTGCGTATATTAAATGAGATAAATAGACTTCAAATAAATCACATTATTATATATCATTAATATTATATAAATTACATATTTATATCTTACATTATGTGTATTAATATCAAACTAGTTTAATCGCTATACTAAGATGTTACGAACAAGGAAGTAGAATCATATATCTCGACTGTTGTCTACAACAAAAACAAAGTATGTAATTCCATAACCTCACTTATTATATATTAAAATGACTTTACCTTTTCTGGGTCCATAGTTTGCCCCAGAGACACGTTAACGTTGGTGAGGTACAGTGACACTTCAGCCATGTCTTCTTCTGTCCTTTCTGTTGCTTTCTTCGAGCTCTTCCGCAGCGTCAACCAGGAAGTGACGTCCCATGTAAACAAGTTCTACTTAAATAGATTATTAGAATAGTGAAAATGTATAATGATCTCCTGAATGGTACATAATTTTGATTTACTACCTCTGTATTTTTTGTTTTATCTATGTATTCTTATTTATTTATTTTTCTTCTTTGTCTTCCTATATAATTTCTGTATTCATAATGTCATCCAATGTTACATTAATTGTTGAAGTTAAGTGTTTATACTTGCAATAAAAAAAAAAAAGATTTAAAAATACACCAGTCAACATGGCGGGGGAAAAAAATGATTATTAGAATAGAAAACGTAATTAAAACGTTAAAACGCTGACAATTTTACAAAAGACATCTAAAAGATCTATACAACTGCATATTGAAAGTTATTTTGTATTCAAGCTGACTCTAGTCTGTTGAATGTGAGCTGATGCAGAGGTCTGACTTAAAGTTTGCAAATGGATTTCAGTTTGTTTCAATGTAGTTTCAAGCACGTGAGGTCCTCTCATTTTGTAGTTTTAGTAGTACAATAATTATGAAAAAGCTTAAATATTATTCCATATCTATCTCTATATAAACCTACTGTACACTCTAAAAAATGATGGGTGTAAGAATGTATATAGAGTGTAGCCTCTTCTGGAGTATTCACAACAAAATCAGCTTTAGTTGTGCTGTAATTTCATGTTTTAGGCATCACTACATGCCACTGCTTCGTTTCTTCTTTAACCCTTTAATTGAAATATTTTCATACTTTCATCTTTCAATGTGTTATTAATAACATAATAGTCTAATTCATAACTCCTTAAAAGTCCGATTATTTGTGCAAAAATTAGACTCATTTTGTTCAGCATGATTAACCTTTAACAAGATTATAATTTCACACAAAATAATTACCAAGATTGATTTCTCTTTCCTCGCCCAGATCAAGTTCAATCAAAAAAGAATGGGTTAGTGTTGTCTGCACTCCCAGTAAAACTTGTCAGTAATGTTTTTGAAATGACTAATAAATGAGAACTAGCACCACCTTACTCAGGCCTTCTCATGTTTTTATGTGTATTTCTATTATGCATTTTGTTACATATTTAATACGTTTTTTTAAAAGTGTAACTGAAACTGAATTCAGTAAGCAGGAGTGTGTAAAATATACACTGTTTACAAAGTTAATATTTTGTGGATTATTTTAGAATAGTGCTGTCATATGATTAATCGTATCCAAAATAACACATACAATATATATTTTGAAAATATTTACATATATTTGCATATATATTTATATATTTATGTTCATATAATTTATATTATATTTAAACATGTTTTATATATAAACATAACATATTGTTCTTAAATAAATACATGCATTTACGTGTATTTATATATACATAATAAATATACACAGTACACACACATATTATGTAAACACAAACTTTTCTTTTGGATGTGATTAATCGTTTGACAGCACTATTTTAGAATTATACTATTTTCATTATTTCTTTTGTCTTTAAACACAATCACATCACACAACCAATGGTTTACATGTTTATTATTATTATTTTAATAATCTCACTTTTTAATCACACCGCATAGTCTTAATACAGTAAAAATATTTAGCAGTCTTTGTATATTAGGAAGGGGCAGGGGTCATCATTTTTAGGGGGCCCTGGCATCAGATTGATGGAAAACCCCTGTGCTTCACAGCTAAAGTTATCTTTGGAGTCCTAACTAGAAATCTCCATTTATGCCATTTTTTGCATTCTTTTCAGGCCTCTAAAAGTTATTTTCTAGTATTTTTAAAATTGCAATTCCAACAGTGAAATACATGGGGAAAAAAGTCCTTACAATTCCAGTATAACTTTTCATCTTGCATTTAAAAATTAAACAATCATTAAATCTTTAAATCAGGGGGAAATAGCCTACCATTTGGTACAGCTGACCTATATATTGATGTATGTATATAATATTTCCCATTAAGGGTTAGAATGTAAATTGTATTCTTTCCCCATATTACCATGTGCACATGGCTATTTGATTCCAATGATAAAAGAGATCAGAAATGGGTGCTGTGGTTAAAAGGAAAATTCTTGCACCCTCCTTCGGCCACTCGTTGTATGGCAAAAATAAGGCATTTTCGGAAGGAACCACTGCAACCACCCAGTTGACTAAAAATGCATTACACGAAATAAACAGTTAAACTAATATTACCAGACACTAGTTGTGTCTACTAATATGTATATTTCATCATAATATATTTACATCTCATTTTCGCTCAGCACGTGCTCATTATCTCCTAATAAATCTCTTTCCGCCCCTATGAGGAAAGCGAAAGTGGACTAATCCAGTAGTATTGAAGGCAAAGCTCATCGCGCAGTTGTTTGTTTTTACTCAGCGCGGAGCGGAGAGGAGAGGCGCGGAGTTGTGTAACGGTTACGGTTTTTTAATCTTCATTGCATCTTTCCAGCCTCTTGCCATGGCTCTGTGCAGTAGCGTCGGAGCCTTGGCGTTACCCAGCGAGCTTATCGTTCACATATTCTCCTTCCTGTCAGACCGTGACAAGCTCCGGGCCTCGGCCGTATGCTCTCGCTGGAGGGAGTGTCTCTTCTACCCTGCGCTGTGGACGGAGCTCAAGCTGCGCGTCGGTGGCGGAACCAACGGCGGCGGATCTGGACCGGAACAAACCCCGCGGTTAGAGTTCCTCATGCGCAAGTTCGGCTCGTTCGTGCGGGAGCTGCAGCTGGAGTTCGCCCCGCTGGACGGATGTTTAAGCCCGCTGCAGCACGGAGTGGAAGCCGTCGAGAGTTCATCTGGTCTGTATTGAAATTGTTCAGCTTTATCTGATTAACTTCTAATAACGTCTAATGGTTGCTAGTACTTAAGTAAACACTAGTAAATTGTTGTTATTAGGTTTTAATACATTGTTACTAGTGACTTTTTTTGTCTGCTTATAATTTCCTACTCGTCACATGCAGTGATTAGTTAGAATAGCTAATTTATAGGTAAATTAAAAAATGTAATGACTACTAAGATTACAAAATATTGCTGGTAACAGTACAATAAATGTAACGAAAAAGTGACTTGAAATGTACTCAAACTGAAAGAAAATAAATATATTTAGCTATTTTATAGCTATTAATATTACATTTGTACCATTAAATATATACAAAAATAACTAAGATCTGTATCTACCTATATAGTATTTATTTATAATTTTTTAGTATCGTATATATTCAGTTACTACTGGGTGAACTGTAATGTATTTGAGTAGTAACTAAAAAAACAAATACCTAATAAATAAAATAATTATTAGTAAAAGTGAAATAAAACAAGTATAATACATTCTGATCTAAAGCGTACATCTTGAATTTGATGGCAAATTATGCAATTTGTAATAATTACCAGTAACAATTGTATTGGGACAATACATGGTGACTAGTAACAAACCGTACTTGTATGTAATGAATATTTGCTAGTGAAATTGAAAAACATTCTAGTTACTTTTTGTAACTACACTTACTTGGAAAGAATAAGCACTTTAACATAAAATAAATGCTAGTTAGTTCTAAGTAGCATGTTAAAACTGCTGTCTGAACTCCCACAAGCCTTACTGCTTTGTTAACATTCTAACAGAATCTTTTGGATCGTACAAAACAATGTTTAAACAAGACTGGCTTTGTGTTTCATGATGTTTCCTGATGCTGATTTGAACGGTTTATGCACAATAGAAAAGCACTAGAAGGACTCATAGCCCAGCAATTGCCTTTAAAACAACAGGCTTTAGTTTAAAATGTGCAAACAAAAGGAAAACGAGCTGAATATAGGTTCTTTGGTGTAGTGAGAGTTTGAGAATTTACTTCAAATTAATTGGTTGATTCTTTGTATCCGACACTTTGATATAAGAGCTATAGCTTGTATTGGTCATAAAAAGACAATATCTGTTGATCTCAAAGTTTCAGGAGCAATGTTTTTGTGTTGTGAATTCTAGTTTGGTATCGTAATGAATGAAACCGGTTCCTCCTTGTTTGTTTTCATGTTGTGATGGTTTATTTATATTTGGTGGTCATTCAATATGGTTCATTTTACATTGTACACTGTTCTCATGTAATTTAATAATAATAATCTATGCATTTAGCAGACGCTTTAATCCAAAGCGACTTACAGTGCATTCAAGCTATACATTATTTACCAGTATGCGTGTTCCCTGGGAATTGAACCCATGACCTTTTGCGCTGCTAACGCAATGCTCTACCACTGAGCCACAGGAACATGGAAAAGAAAATGGAATATCTGATATCTATCAGTTTGTTTGCTCTAGCTTGTTTACATTTGCAAGACACGAGACTCATACTACTACTTTTTTTTTCCTCTATAGAAATCTCCAGAAGCTGAGTCTCTATGGGGACACATGCATTCTTCAGGATGATGGCATTTTGGACAGCTCTTACCTCAGCCAGGTCGACCAAGGGGGCAAGAAAATGAAAGAGTATGTTTTAAAGCTACCTTCCACTCATGTAAACTGATTGCAATCTTATTCTGAAATGGCACACTCAATGGGGAAAATCTAATCAAGGAAGCTGGCTTTGCAAATATTCTGACTATCTTGTTAGTTCTAGGTATAAGGCAGATCCATGAAGCATGTTTTATTAGATTGTGCTTGTTTTAACTTTAAAAAAAAAAAAAAATCAGTTAACACTTTCGAAAGTTAACTCTTAGCGAAATACAGTTGTTGAATTTTTTAAATTGTAAAAACCTGATGCATAGTTTTACCATAACATTTTCTTGCCATGGAAATAGCCACAGAAGCTAGCATAGCATTAAAAAACAAACATTTGTTTTGGGCTGTGTTCAGATTTGAATATGTGTATATACCATATACTTCCTACTGTTTAAAAATAGTATTGCTGTTGGAAACAATAAATATTTTTTAAAAACTGTAATATGTTACATGTCAATTCTACATTGTTTAATTCAGACTTTAGTTTTCTGATACTAGTAGTTGCATTGGAGCATTTAGCACTTCATCTTTAATTATGCTGTCATTCAAAGGTTTGGGATAAGTTTGTTGTTGTTGTTTATTATTATTATTTATTTATTGTTGTTGTTTTTGGAAGAAGTGTCTTATGCTCACCAAGGCTGGATTTATTTAGATAAAAAATACAGTTAAAAACAGTCATACTGTAAAATGTTATTACAATTTAAAATGACTTTTCTGTTTTAATAAATTATTTTATTTAAATGATTTATTGTATTCCAGCAAAGCTGAATTTTTAGCAGCCATAACTAGTCTTCAGTGTCACATGATCCATCAGAAATTATTCAGATACGCTGATTTGATTGTCAGGAAACATTTCTTATTTTCATCAATGTTGAAAACAGTCTTAATATTTTTGGTTTTTCAGGATTAAGAAGTTTAATAGAACAGTTTGTATTTGATTTATTTTTATTATTTTGGTGGCTTGTAATAGTCTTTACTGTGATTTTCTGATCAATTTAGTGCATCCTTTCTGAAGAGAAAAATTAGTTTCTTTAAAAAAAAAAAAAAAAAAAAGACTCCCCCCATACTTCTGAATGGCAGTGAATGCTCTGTCTTATTTTGGTGCCAAACAGTCTTAATATTTTTGGTTTTTCAGGATTAAGAAGTTTAATAGAACAGTTTGTATTTGATTTATTTTTATTATTTTGGTGGCTTGTAATAGTCTTTACTGTGATTTTCTGATCAATTTAGTGCATCCTTTCTGAAGAGAAAAATTAGTTTCTTTAAAAAAAAAAAAAAAAGACTGCCCCCATACTTCTGAATGGCAGTGAATGTCATGTCTCATTGTGCTGCCTTAGTTTATTTAACTTTAAAAATGAATTATAACCATTTCTAATGTGTTGTTGTTTATCCTGTTGTTCTAGGATGCAGCAGCTCTTCGAAGAGATCCTGTCCAACAGCAGGCAGTTGAAGTGGTTGTCGTCTGCGTTCATGCTCGGTGTGGTGACCCCCTGCTCTCTGGCCTCTCTCTCCAACCCCAGCACCAGCTCCCTCGAGCACCTCAGTCTGATCGACAGCCAGCTGCCCAGCCTGATTTCCACCATCGAACTGGAAAGGCTCACTAACCTGCAGTCTCTGTCTCTAGACTTCTGCGATTTCACCTCAGACATGTGCTGTCTCCTCGCTGGCGGTGACCGAGCGCCCCTCCACCGCCTCTCCCTCTTGCTCAACGGCACTGCTTTGGACGTCAAGCCTTTGGATGGTACCGCCACCGAGGACGATTGGAAAGCCCTGGTCCGTCGCAGCACCAACCTCCGCGTCTACATCATGGCGATGGATGTGTGCAGCCAGGACCTTCTGCGTGTGCTGAAGCCCAGCGTGCCCCTGGAGCGGATCCATTTGGACAGCTACAGCACGCTGGTGACGGATGGTGTCGTGGAGCTCATCTCACAGCAGTACCACAAAACCCTGAGCCATTTCATCTTGATGAGAGATGACGCTGGATTCCCAGACCTCAGCGTCAACCGCAACGAGGACCCACTGGTTCTCCTCGCCTGGCGCTGTGTGCACCTCGCTGTCCTGATCATCCATGGTAAGTGGAGATTTTAAACTTTTCACTTGATGTTGATAATTCACTGATTTGAGAGATGGGACAAAACGGACTGTAATTTTTTTTATAATACTGCCAGAAAACGTTTTTATTCAGAAACGGGTTTAAGTTAATATTATTTAAAAAATTAATATATCTGAAAGGTAATATACGTCTATTTGGGAAGTTGTTGTTGTTGCTGCTGTTATTTATCATGTGGTTTTTATTTACTGTGTGATTTTGTTTCATTTTTAAATGTATTTTTTCATCCTTGCCAAAGCATTTACAAAAAGCCTAATACAATTACAAAATTGAACATTTCCCCATACATAAACCTTTATGCCAAAATTAATTAAAAATATACATAAAATCTATCTATCGTTACATATGTTTTTATTCATATTTTATTTAATGTATGTCTGGGAAAAATAATTGTGTGTTTATTATGTATATTTAATGAGCTAAAAAAAAAATAAATAAATAAAAATTCTATTATGTTTCGGCTCCATAACCTTTTTCATAACTGTTTTTTTTTAATAGATAATGTCTCTCCTTTTAAATCAGTGACATTAGTAGCCAATAACAGCAGGTTAATAAAATGCTCCTGGATTTAAAACATTCTAAGCAGCATACTAGTATTTTGTCGTGACTGTAAGCCATCTACTATGTCAGATTTTCTGTCTTGAATTCAAGCTGAAATTTGAAATCATCCTGTAATCTCAATTTATTCATTCATCAGTCTGAATACTAGATTTGCAATATGTTTTTGTATCTGACAGTATTTTCAGTACTAATGATTAATTAATTTGAATAAAAATATTACTTTGTGGGTTTTTTCCCATGTCTCAAGAATCAGTGAGTCAATAAAGTTGTTTTACCATACTTGTTCTCTGGGTTAAATCATTTCTCTCGCTCCACAGGCTACACTGTGTGGTCGCACAACCTGGTGGCCATCTCTCGCCTGCGTGGGTCCAACCTCAAAGTCCTGGAGGTGTCCGAAGAGAGCATCGACTTTGACCCGGACCAGTCGGTGCACATCGAGGGCGACCCCGTCCACAACCTAGTCAAGGAGGTGTCCCTGGGCTTGGGCCGCGTCTGGCATGCCTCCATAGACAACAGCTTGGTCCTGAACGAACCCACTCAGCACTTCCACCGTGAGATGCAGAGTTTCAGCGCGGGCATGTAGACGCAAACCCCCTCTCTAACCCTGTGCTTGGTGATCTTTCACTAAATGGGCCCTTCTCATTTTACATAGTTTTTTTTTTTCTTTCATTGCTTTTTGATTTTGTTTTTGTTTATTCTTGTAGTGTGAATTTAATCCTTTATATGTGCTGTGTTTAATCAGTATTAGCTCTATATTTATATCTATATCTATATATCCTGCTTATAACTAGGAAAGTATAGTTGGGTATTGGTTTAGTAGCTAATTGAGTGAATGGTAGAGAGGGGCTTTTATACAGCTAGCTTACAAGTTGTACAGTGAGTTGTTCATTCTCTCGCTTTGTCTGTTTGTTGGTTTCCCCCTAGAAAGTGTGGAGTTACCTCAAACTATCAATTGATCCTTCTTGGCTTCTGCAACGACGAAATCCCACGTTCACGTTGACCTTTTTATAGGGAGATTAGTCTTCTAGCCAAGGGACAGGACTGATCCACAGCAGTTACGACACTTCCTCATTGTTCCTCAATATGTAATTGTTATTCAGAAATGAGGATTGGTGGAAACAACGTGTTTGGGACGCAGATCCCGCTGGATTTTCTCAACCTGGAAGTAGACGCACCTCTGCTGGTGAAACCAATCGTAGAGGTTTTCAGTCTGGTGTTTGACACCTGCATGCTGACCGCCCTGCAGCACAATATCTGGGCCCAGCCATAGGTGTTTTGTTCCTTTTCTTGTTTTCTTGTGTGTTGTTGTTTTAAGAAGTCCTTCCCGTCTGTCTCAGGTAGGCAAAAATTATATGACAAGGAAGATGAAGATGAAGGTTAAGATATTTTGGTAAGAGTGAAAACAATCAGCTGTTCCGTCAGTTTTAATTGTTCTTCTTGAGTCACAGTTGCCTTGAACTCCCCCTTACTACTTCATAATCAATGTGATTTTGGCCTCGGCCTCAGTCGGTTCGGAGTTAACGTCTTTGTAATTCCCTACTGAAGTGCGTCAACTCGATGGTAATTGAGGGTGAACGCGCTCCGAACGGATTGAATCCAGGCCGTGGTATTTCATCTGTAAAGCATTAGATGGCGGGAGACAGACGTTTGCTTGTTCCATATCTCAGGATTCCTGCACTTGCGGTACTTTTCCAGCCGAAAGCTTTTGTTGAAGCTTCGTTCAAAGGGTTGGCGTGCTCGATGGGCAAGACTTTGTAGTGTTTTTGGAGGAAAGATAGCTCTTCCAAAAGAATGCGCTTTAGAAGTTGCTGGTTTTATTTTTTCTTCCTGTCTAATTTCCCTAGTTTAGCTATTGAAGTTCTCGGTGTGTTCTTTGCTTTTACATATATTGTCTATTAGCCCTTATTTTTTTTTATTTTTATTTTTTAAGAAAATCATAGTCGAAGGAGGTCGTGGTTGCTTGTATAGCTGAAAAGGTGAATGTCAAACTAAGCCGCTTTGAAGCGGCAGCATGGCGTGCTCGATGGGCAAGACTTTGTAGTGTTTTTGGAGGAAAGATAGCTCTTCCAAAAGAATGCGCTTTAGAAGTTGCTGGTTTTATTTTTTCTTCCTGTCTAATTTCCCTAGTTTAGCTATTGAAGTTCTCAGTGTGTTCTTTGCTTTTACATATATTGTCTTTTAGCTTTTTTTTTTCTTTTTTTTTTAAGAAAATCATAGTCGAAGGAGGTCGTGGTTGCTTGTATAGCTGAAAAGGTGAATGTCAAACTAAGCCGCTTTGAAGCGGCAGCGTTTTTGCTCTGCAAAATCCCCTCTTTCATGAGCATATCTTTATTTTGCCATGCTCGAGTAATGAAGTGAATTGTCGAAGAGCGGAGTACTTTTTAAAACCGTTAAGTTGCCTCGCTAACGTTACTCTGTCAGGCCTCAGAACTTCCTGTTATTTGGCGGTATCGACTACCTGAAGCCAAACCAGGTTTGAAGCCATCGCCCCAATCTTCCTGGAAGATCTGCGCTTATGACAAAAACAATGTACAGCCAAAGCAAACCTTCGCAGCATGAAAATCATCTTTATATGCAAGCTTATCAAGTGAGGGGTGACCTAACAATTTAGCTTACGATCTTGTCGTTTGTGGTCCAAAAAAGGTTTGAAGCAGTTAACCAATGAGGTCGAACAACTCTTGGCACGTGCACAAAGAGTTGATGTAATTCGACGTTTTATAAGTGCGAAGCAGGGATCCAGCTTGACTAAAAGTTGACAAGTTTACAACCTATTGCGGTACCCATGTCAACATTGGTGAAAACGGCAGATTTTCGTGGTTGGTGGCACAGAACGCAAATAGGGTCATTGTGGTTTAAAATCTGTTAAATTCAATCCCTTTTTGAATAAACCACAGACTAAAAATGCTGTTTTCAGGTGCGTTGACATGGGTGCCAAACACGCTGTAATGAATATGTCGGAATGCTCTTAAATGTGTGCCAGGATTCTGTGTTGTTCTACTTGGTACAGCACCAAAAAATTATTTCAGTAAGTGTGTTCTTAATTCGGAGCTTGTTCGTCGTTCATCGATTTTTGCCGAACGGTTAGAGTTGGCGGAGAATGACAGCGTATGACACGTTACAAACTGCTAAAGCATTCATACCGTGCCTAAAACCCAGAATAGCTTTCATTTCAAACCCACATCACTGTACGTTCCCGGTCGACCAAGTCTGCAACGCGTTACAAAGACATCGCATCAGTGTTTTCGTCTAGTTTTTTTTTGCAATCTCTCTATGTGTGCATGCGAGTGTGTTGTGTAAACGTTCAAAAAGTGCATCCATCAGAGAAGGAGGTGTGTGTTCAGTACAAAGGGTACCACTTCCTCAGCAGTGAACAGGAAACAGCCATTCTCAGGGTTACTGTTAGACGTGTGGAGGAAACAAAACGGAGTCCAATAGCTCAGGCCTCTCACCATGAAAGTTTCCATTAACGAAGAATCTTCTCAACAAAGTCACTGGATTTAACTTCTGTCAGCGAATCATCTGCCAAAGATAACGGTGATACGATTCTTTTTTTTTTTCTTTTTTCAAGTGCCCACATGCTGGCAGAGGGCAGGGCCAATGGCTGATAGGCCGAGATGTACTACTACTATTGTATTACGACAACTACTATTAGATAAATGTACTAATGGTTGGACTTGGGCGGTGGTCCACAGCTGAGCTGTGGCTTTGGTCAACATACGTTAGATCTCTCTTACAATGCACCTGTTTCACTGTGAAGAGTGAATGTAATTTAACTATTGAAAATCAAGGTTGGTTCTATCAGACCTATAAGCTGCTATGAGACGTGTTAGTAACATTCCACTGGGGAGTTCAAACAAACTAAAATGGCCAAATGTCTGCATGAAATGATCTTTTTTTTTTTACTCTTATTCTGTTCTGTTCGGGCAGAGGCGGGATCCTGTAATCAGCTTTCGACTGGTCCTACGATGAAATTCTTGAGCCATTTGAGAGCAAGTGTAGGTTTTTATTCCTGATCGATGCGACCAGTCGGTTGTTACAACTCTGTTGGATCCCAGTTTTTTTTTTTTCTTTCAGAAACGTTATATGCATTTCACAATCTCGTAGTAAGGAGAAAGAGGGCTGCTATGACCCCATCTGAAACGGTCGGTGTTTTACAGCTTTTTTTTCTGACAGCTATCTTACCGATTATCGACCTCACGCCAGCCTTTGGTAAAAACGAACAGTCCGAGTTTCCACTGCAGGTCCGATGCAGGCCTCTCTTTCTCTCTATCACTCTGGTCGGCTTGCGTTAACGGCAAAGTCAAAAACTATGCAAACGGAATGCATACGATCCAATGGCTCCTAACTCGTTTTTCTTTCGTTGGATTTTTCTTTTCTTTTTCTGTCACTCAAATGGAAATAACCTAACTTGCAATGATACTTGGCCTTATTATTGTTATTATTATTGTTTTAAGATCTTGATTCTTCGGTAGCCAACTCAAGTTTCAGGGGCGACCGTGGGTTACAGACATGGTCTCTATGAGACTGGCCAGAAGGCCCCAGTTATAAGTGGTACGAATGTTGTGCATTTGTTTAAAATCAGGACAGTTTGCAATAAAGAAGTGGCCATCATGGGGCACCAGCAGTGCTAAGACCACGCTGCTACCTTATAAACTTAACGGGGAGTTAAATAAGATAACATAAACGTGCATATGCGTATATGTATATATCAACGTATATACTTTTATGCAACACATGTCCGGGTTCTATTTATGAACATTGAAAAAAGTTTATAAGCGTTGTTGTTTGCAAAAATGGTTTTACCATCTTAAATGTTTAATATTTGGGCAGGTGTGTTCTGTCTACATTTTTGTCTCCGGTGAGCACATAGCATTGGATTTTATATGTACATCTGCAAACAGGAAGTACTCTGGCACAGGTGTGAACATGCCAGGTGGCAAGATTTTAATGAGAAAAAGTGATCTTGAGGTTCCACGATAAAGAAGGAAAACCTTTGAAAAACTTAACTGACAGATATTGGGTAAACCAGCCGAATGTTGATTTGAATCAATGTTGAACGAATGCATTCTTTTAATCGGTAAAATAAAAGCATAAAAAAAATCAATGTTGTCTCCGTTTTATACAGTTGTGATGTACAGTGCATTTGTTTTCTTTATGCTTCAAAATGTGAGACCGAATGGAATAGTAGTAGATTTCTCACTCTTTTTAACCATTGTTCAGTACAAAGCGTACCACTTCCTCAGCAGTGAACAGGAAACAGCCATTCTCAGGGTTACTGTTAGACGTGTGGAGGAAACAAAACGGAGTCCAATAGCTCAGGCCTCTCACCGTTAAAGTTTCCATTAATGAAGAATCTTCTCAACAAAGTCACTGGATTTAACTTCTGTCAGCGCATCATCTGCGTCAGCTGCCAAAGATAACGGTGATACGACACTTTTTTTTTTTTCTTCGAAGTGCCCGCATGCTGGCAGAGGGCAGGGCCAATGGCTGATAGGCCGAGATGTACTACTACTATTGTATTACGACAACTACTATTAGATAAATGTACTAATGGTTTGACTTGAGAGGTGGTCCACAGCTGTGCTGTGGCTTTGGTCAACATGCGTTAGATCTCTCTTACAATGCACCTGTTTCACTGTGAAGAGTGAATGTAATTTAACTATTGAAAATCAAGGTTGGTTCTATCGGACCTATAAGCTGCTATGAGACGTGTTAGGAACATTCCACTGGGGAGTTAAAAACAAACTAAAATGGCCAAATGTCTGCATGAAATGAATATTTTTTTACTCTTTTATTCTGTTTTGGTTCGGGATCCTGGAATCAGCGTTCGACTGGTCCTACGATGAAATTCTTGAGCCATTTGAGAGCAAGCGTAGGTTTTTATTGACTATCGATGTGACCAGTCGGTTGTTACAACTCAGTTGGATCCCAGATTTATTTTGTCTTTCGGAAACGTTATATGCATTTCACAATCTCGTAGTAAGGAGAAAGAGGCCTGCTATGACCCCATCTGAGACGGTCAGTGATTTACAGCTTTTTTTCAGACAGCTACCTTACTGATTATCGACCTCACGCCAGCCTTTGGTAAAACTAACAGTCTGAGTTTCCACTGCAGGTCCGATCTCTAGCTTGACGCGGGCCTCTCTTTCTCTTTCTCTCTGGTCAGCTTGCGTTAACGGCAAAGTCAAAAACTATGCAAACGGAATGCATACGATCCAATGGCTCCTAACTCGTTTTTCTTTCGTTGGATTTTTCTTTTCTTTTTCTGTCACTCAAATGGAAATAACCTAACTTGCAATGATACTTGGCCTTACTATTGTTATTATTATTATTGTTTTAAAGATCTTGATTCTTCGGAAGCCAACTCAGTTTCAGGGGCGACCGTGGGTTACAGACATGGTCTCTATGAGACTGGCCAGAAGGCCCCAGTTATAAGTGGTACGAATGTTGTGCATTTGTTTAAAATCAGGACAGTTTGCAATAAAGAAGTGGCCATCATGGGGCACCAGCAGTGCTAAGACCACGCTGCTACCTTATAAACTTAACGGGGAGTTAAATAAGATAACATAAACGTGCATATGCGTATATGTATATATCAACGTATATACTTTTATGCAACACATGTCCGGGTTCTATTTATGAACATTGAAAAAAGTTTATAAGCGTTGTTGTTTGCAAAAATGGTTTTACCATCTTAAATGTTTAATATTTGGGCAGGTGTGTTCTGTCTACATTTTTGTCTCCGGTGAGCACATAGCATTGGATTTTATATGTACATCTGCAAACAGGAAGTACTCTGGCACAGGTGTGAACATGCCAGGTGGCAAGATTTTAATGAGAAAAAGTGATCGAGGTTCCACGATAAAGAAGGAAAACCTTTGAAAAACTTAACTGACAGATATTGGGTAAACCAGCCGAATGTTGATTTGAATCAATGTTGAACGAATGCATTCTTTTAATCGGTAAAATAAAAGCATAAAAAAAATCAATGTTGTCTCCGTTTTATACAGTTGTGATGTACAGTGCATTTGTTTTCTTTATGCTTCAAAATGTGAGACCGAATGGAATAGTAGTAGATTTCTCACTCTTTTTAACCATGGTGTTGTAGATTTTTTGTTGTTGTTGCAGTGATTACATTTGTGAAGCTCAATTTCTACTGAGTTAAAGATTTTAGCGCTTGACCTTGCTTTTCCAGGTCTGGAATTTAGGGAGGCATATGTAGGCAGGTTTTTGGTTACTTCTTAAAATGTGTAAAATGTTTCAAATACTATAACAATGTACCTTCTGTGCTCTGTTATGAAAATCATTTATCCAACGTAATTCCTGAAGCACCATATTACGAGGTTCCACGATAAAGAAGGAAAACCTTTGAAAAACTTAACTGACAGATATTGGGTAAACCAGCCGAATGTTGATTTGAATCAATGTTGAACGAATGCATTCTTTTAATCGGTAAAATAAAAGCATAAAAAAAATCAATGTTGTCTCCGTTTTATACAGTTGTGATGTACAGTGCATTTGTTTTCTTTATGCTTCAAAATGTGAGACCGAATGGAATAGTAGTAGATTTCTCACTCTTTTTAACCATGGAGTTGTAGATTTTTTGTTGTTGTTGTTGTTGCTGCAGTGATTACATTTGTGAAGCTCAATTTCTACGGAGTTAAAGATTTTAGCGCTTGACCTTGCTTTTCCAGGTCTGGAATTTAGGGATGCATATGTAGGCAGGTTTTTGGTTACTTCTTAAAATGTGTAAAATGTTTCAAATACTATAACAATGTACCTTCTGTGCTCTGTTATGAAAATCATTTATCCAACGTAATTCCTGAAGCACCATATTACTCCCAAAGATCATTTAATACTCTGCAAGTCCTAAAACAAGCACTTTTGATTATAGCATAAAACGAATGAATGAATACATAATTCTGCTTATTTGTCAGGGATGCACAATGTATTTGGTACCATATTGGTGATCTGATATTAGATTTAATCGTGGAAACTTAAGTCCCCTTTTTACATTTCGGATAAAATAATGAATAATATTCATTTTCATACTGCACATTATTTTGTGATGCCTAAATTTATTTGAAGCACTTAAATGATTCATTTTTGTTTAATATTTTAGTTAATTTTATTCAGTTATCAGGCATAACATACTTTTATCAACCTGATAATGTTTGTTTTATGTTTGTGCATCTTTTTACAAATATTTTCACGCATTAGCACCATCTCAGCAAAAAATCCAATATTTTTCAAATGACATCTTTTATTAATGTACATAATTTCATCAGACCACCTATTTTAAGGCATGAGTTGTTATTAGAGGAAACTATAAATATATCCGCTACATGGACTGTTCTCTGGACTGAGTTGTTGGATTTGTCAAGCTTGCTACCAAAGTCTAGTTTCAACAGCATCCTATTCACAATATATATTTAGACTTTCTATATATACAGTTTGACAAATATGAGGACCTTTTATCATCTACCTTCAATTAAAAAAAAAGCATCAGAACATCACAAACCTGAGCACCTATAATCCTGATAAAAGGCAGTCTCATTGACTTTTTACAATTTACCTACAGGTTCACAAAGGCTGCACACTTACACTGTACCTGAAATACAGACATCAACTTCCTCCTCATAATATTATAACCAGTGGCATGTGCTGCACCCTTTGCCATGCTTGCGCTTTCAACTAAGACAGAAGTAAGAGATAACCACAAGGCTACTGTGGTTACATATCAAAGGAAACACCCCCGAGCACAACAACAGGAAGTCGGAAACAGTTTGCAGGAGAGGAAGAGAGCGTGAGAGATCAGATGACATCATGAGGAGAGGGCGACTGGTCGGGGGTCTGCTCGCTGCCCGGTGGGGAGGGTCTGGGTGGTGGTCCGGGGGGGAAGCTGTCAGACAGAGGTCTTGGTGGCAGATAGCCCATATGTTGAGGGAGCGGCATTGGAGCTCTGGGAAACATTCCCGGGGGAAGTGGCCCTCGCACTAATGGAAACAGTAATAAAGGTTATCAGTTTGTACTAGGACACAGTATCAAATAATCGGACTGAAAACCCTGGAGTGATGCAGCCTATTCTTATAAATATATTTATTTATTAAATAACCTTAATGTTTTAAAAAAATAAACATTTGTAATGATATTATTAATACTACTACTACTACTACTACTAATAAAATAAAAAATATTTGAATTAAGACAGTTTAAAATAATCGGACAGAAAATTCTGAAATGATGCTACCTCAAATTCCCATAAATAAATCTATTATAAATAAATGATTTCATAAATTTGCAAGTATAAAAATAGCTATATAGCTGAGTCCTATCTTGTGATAAATCAAATGGCAAAAATTTAAATGTGTAATAATAATAATAAATTAGTGTAATTGAAATCATAAATGATTAGAAATGACAAAATTATTTAAAAAATAATATGAACCAATATCAACTTCATCAAATCACAAAAATAAGGTATTTTCATAAATCATGTAACATGCTTTTTATTTGCAACTATTTTCAATATTGACCAAAATTGTAATATTTATACAGTAATACTGGAAATAACACTTATAATTCCATGTTTTTTTCCAAAATGTTAATGTTCGTGGGAACCATGAACTTAACATTTTTTTTAGTTGTTAGCTTTAAATTTGTAAATATAAAAATCTAAGTAGCGGAGTCCTATCTTTTAATAAATCAAATGGCAAAATTAAAATCTGTACTAATAATAAATTATAGAATAAATAATAATTAAAATATAACATTAACCAATAACCATTAATCAACTTTATCAATCAAATCACTAAATGAAGTCTTTCCCTAAATCATGTCCCACTAAATATGCATTTAATTTGTGAAAAAGTCACATTGCAGAAGTTAAATGTTCTGCACTTTCACCGTTTCTTCAAGCTGTGATAATACAACATTTAGAGTGGAAAGAGTTAACTTACTGCCTATGGGGGGACCACGAGGGGGAAAGAACTCCGGAGGTCCATAAGGGCCCCTGGGTGGGAAGTGTGGGTCCCTAGGGTCCATCAGTGGGGGCATTCCCATTAATCGGGGGCCAGGAGGAGGTCCCATTCTTGAATCTGGATCAGGGGGCAATCTCATGTCACCAAGCATCGAGTGAGGACCCTGTGAGAAGACACATTTTAGTTATGGGCATGTCAAAAAATGACAAGTGTTTCTCATCAATCGGAGGTTTCCTCACTTCTCTGCTCTCATTTTCACTGATGGATGAGCTGTTTCTTAGAAATGATGAATCTGGGGGGGGGGGGGAGAGGAAAAATACTCTTAGGATCTTTGAGGCGAACTTCTTACATTTTCATTTTCATTTAATTCTTAAAGATTGCTGAAAAGAGCGCTCATTCATGCCTTGGTAATGCTATTACATGAGCTACATAAAAACAAATTAGCAGGGAGTGTCTGCCACATTATGTTGCTCCATTTACTATGAGAATATGTACCTCATTTATTCAGTATGTTACTATTAGGCTTGTATATGTGAGTCATATGGGCTACTTATAATTCCACAGGTACAAATGACCTTTAAGAGAAGTCAAACATATTGTAGAGGAGGTCACATGGAAAGACTCACTTGATTTTTCACCAAAGTATGGCTCAGGAGGAAGTGGAGGTCTAGGAGGCAAAGGACCCATAGGATACGGACCTGGAGGAGGCCTCCTAAAGGGCAAACCCGGGTCTGGGAGAGGATGACCTTTCATAAACATATAAAAAAAAAGAATATTTATATAAAATATATTTACTTATATAAATCTATTATCAAGATCATCATTTATGTAATGTAATATTATATTTTTATATACATTTATTTATTATAAATAAACTAGAGCCTTCACATTTTAATAGGGAATCATAAACGAATATAAATAATTTTGTATTATATTATTATACTCAATATTCTAATATTCTCAAGAGCCTTTCGAACACTTTATACGGGATCAGAAAAATGTATAATTTATTACAATTAAAAACAAAAACGTACAAATAATAATTTAAAACATTTTAATTTATAAAATGAAAACAAATGAAATGATATATTTTAAATATATAGTGATTATTTATACATATAACTGTCCAAATTCAAGACCCTTTCGAACCACATTATACATTAATACAAATCAAAACAAAAATAAGCATTTGAAAATGATTGGCCCATGAACACAGAGGATGTAATAGGAATGATGCACTACACATAAAAAAGAATGGTCATGATGATAATGACATTACAAAATACAGTGATGTTCTGTGCTATTCACAGCCACAGTATGAAATAACTAATCACTGCGCTGAACATTTAGCCCACAGCATTCGGCCCAGCAGTGAGGAGCAGCAGGGGGCAGTGGGACAAAGCCAAAATCACAGAAACGTCTAGAACAAAGAAGGCCCAGTTCTGTGACTCTTCAATGAGCTGTGCGGCTGAGTCAGCGCTTCTCAGCCACCTCTGAATAACTGAGTTTGAGCTTCAGTAACAAACGCCTCTCACCTCACACTGTTGGCTAAATTACACAGTTGAGTGATTAGTATTCATAAATCAATAGGAAATTAATACTGAATCAAGCTAATAAGCCTCCTAGACTGCATATTCTACATTTTTTTAGCCTTTATAATTATTTACATATATTTCTTGCATCGTAATGTAGTTTTACGCAACCATTTCCTCCCTCTCTGATCATTAGAAATAAACAGTGTTTTTTTGCTTCACTGTACCTTTAAATCTAAAAGACCTGTTATGTTTGGCTAAACTATTAACATGTTATAAAAATGGGCTGTCATGTTAATGTGCTCATAGTTTTTCCATCAATAATTCTTGATCATTGAGAGCTAGAGAAGTATTTCTTCCTGATACGGGGCAGCCACAGCAGTGGGAACATCACTGTACCTGGAGGAGGGGGAGGGCCCCTGCGTTCCCTGTCCCAGGAGGGAGACAGTGAGCCACTATCAGAGTGAGGGCCACTCCGCTCAAAGTCTTGCCCACCACTAGGGGGCTCTCCCACGCCACGGGATGCTGATTATGTGACAGTGAGAGTGAAGGAAGATGAATGGAGTGGAGAGAGACGGCACATAAAAATGTTTGAGGAAATTAAGAATAGAAAAGGGGAGGAAAGGGAGACAACCAACGAAATATTAACGAGGGTAATGAAACACAAAAAGGCTTTTCTATATGCAAACTTGGGGAATGATTTGCTACCCACAGTTTAGT